TGCTACTTCGCGAACTCGTTCCAATAAATGTAGATTTACACGTTTACACGTTGGCCTCTAGGGACTTCAAAACTAAACAGTAAACCGGTTCCAGGTCCAGGTCTTACCATGAGTACTACGGAAATAGCTCATTCCCTATAAGGGAAATTCGCTAAAATGTCTATTTATTTTAACTTTTTATATTTTTATTTTAAGATCCCTCCAAAACTAACCGTACTGCATAGAGTTGTGATTACATCCCTGCATTTTAAGTTTTTACAGTAGAACCCTCTAAAGTTTATGTAGAACCCTCTAACCAACTGCTAATTAATTATTTCAAATTTTATATCGCCAATAACTACTGGTTCAAAACCTCTTGGAGCGGTCATTATATAAGAGATAATCTCGTTTCAGCAAACCTGCATACTAAGTGAATTGTATGTTTTCAATTTGAATTGTAAGGCTCATAACAAAAACAAATTTACAACGCATTATGCGCAAATCTTAAGTATAATCATCTTGATCACTAATGGGCGTATACAAATAGTTGTATTAAAAATTTATTTTATAATTTGAAAATAATACAATTTACTAAGTACTCCTGCTGTGAAAGCGTAATCGAAACACAATTCAACAGTTTGGTTAGCTCAATAAGCACACCTCTTTAAATATAATTTGGCTGAAATATCAATTAACCCCAGTTTTTAAACCATGCAGTTATTTTTCACTCTAAAATTTAAAAAATTTAAATGTAAAAAAAAATTCAAGGCGTTCTTAATTAGTGAGTACAGTAAATAACAAACTATGACAATGGTTTCACCAAACCAATAAACTTGGAACTGGAATGAGTTAATATCCAAGAAGTAAAAAATACATAATAGACACTACTGGGCCTCTAAAATATCTAATGCTTAAAAATTAATAATACTAACATTTTAAGGCCATGATACCAGCCTATACAAATTATGTTTAATATTAATAAAACTAAACCGTGTGATAAATTTTAACTTAACTTACTTTTTTAGAACCATGCAGAAGTCACAGTAGATATCGTAGGTCAATATCAACTTAACTTCCCAACTACTAACTCTTTTGACGCCATCAATCATGTTTCTAGATTTAACCGTAATGTTTTATAACATCTGCACAACACACATTAGTTTAGGTTTCATTTCCAGTCAATTTAACGCGTTTTCTTACCTGTCGAGGACATTTTAAATGGTAAACCTAATTTTTTAAATATGTTCATTGATTATAATCCAGGATAAAAAACATAAATCTAAGATTAAAAAATTGAGTGCTTCCTACCTTTGGTTGGCTTCAGCTGAAACTTGACCAATATGATGTGAACATTGAACAAAGGCAATTAGAGTAATTTATTTTGCAAAAGTTTCTGTTCAATCATAATTTTTTTAACAGTCAAATTTTCACACCTACATTACTTTGAACCCCAATCACGTATTATATTATATTATATTATACAGGGTGTCACAAAAAAGTGTGATGGGCTATACAGGACCTAATTCTACATGCAAAAATAAGTCAAAAATGAAGAATAAAATTTTTTGGTTTTCGGCTTAGTTTAGCCGTAATCCGCCATTTTGTTTTTTGGGGAAAATATTTATTATTTCAAAATCCCTTTGAGATATTTTTACGAAACTTGGCAAAATTGTTTAACTATAGTAAGTAACATTTATAAAAAAAATTATTATTTTAACTTTCCAAATTTAAAAATGGCGGCCGTTTGAATTTTTTAATGCCAAATTTCATGAAAACCGGTACCTAAATCAAAATTTTTTTAGACACAAAAGTTTTAGTATTTATTATGACAAATCCAACAAAACAAAAATGAATAAAATCGGTTCATAAATAAAGAAGCTGTGTTTATTTTAGTAATTTAGACTGAAATTATTAATACTAAAATGTATTAAATGTAAGTAATAATTTATATAACGTGTTAAGTAATTTCAGTCTAAATTACTAAAATAAACACAGCTTCTTTATTTATGAACCGATTTTATTCATTTTTGTTTTGTTGGATTTGTCATAATAAATGCTAAAACTTTTGTGTCTTACAAAATTTTGATTTAGGTACCGGTTTTCATGAAATTTGGCATTAAAAAATTCAAACGGCCGCCATTTTTAAATTTGGAAAGTTAAAATAATAATTTTTTTTATAAATGTTACATACTATAGTGTAAACAATTTTGCCAAGTTTCGTAAAAATATCTCAAAGGGATTTTGAAATAATAAATATTTTCCCCAAAAAACAAAATGGCGGATTACGGCTAAACTAAGCCGAAATCCAAAAAATTTTATTCTTCATTTTTGACTTATTTTTGCATGTAGAATTAGGTCCTGTATAGCCCATCACACTTTTTTGTGACACCCTGTATAACCTGAAATTGCATTTGTTTTTCTTTGTTTCCATAAAATCAATATACTAATTAATTGACTTATGACAACGATTTTGTGAATTCATATGAAATATATTTCCTTATTTAATTCACTTTAATTTTAAGTACGAGAAACTAAAATCGTTTATCGATGTGCAGAATTTAGTAGCCAAGCTAAATCTGCATTTTACTTAAGAGTAATTTCATTTTAGTTTTTCTTTTCACTTTGCTATTTAATCTGTGCGAGTGTATAATACTTGTTCCGTCTCATCAACCACTCTCATACTATATTGATTATCCACTAATAAAAGTGTGCGATATAAAAATGAATTAACTTAAAATGGTGGCCAATCCTAAACAATCCCTGTAAGCATTTGTTGTTTACATAATATTGGTCTTTTAAAAAGATATAACATATTAAACAATGCAATAACATAGAAACATACCTACGTAGCTCATATCTTATGATACATGCTGATACATCACAAGAGAATATAATTGCTTTAAACCGAGTAGATACGAAAAATGGGAAGTTTGACGACGAATACGTTATAGCCTAAACAATATTTATACTGTTAAAATCAGTTGCGTGTTTTGAAATACATACTCCAACACGTTTGTCGAAAGTCTTCTTTCTGTAGATTTTTTGTTTAAGTGGCCAACAACGGCAACTGTCCAAACTGCTTCTCTTCACGCGGTTGAAATTGTGGCGAATTTATCTTATAATGGATGTCTGTTACAACGGTACAAAACGACGGTGTTCGAATAAAATACCTACCTGAAGCCTGGATACAAAAAATGTCTTAGGACTAAATCGTATGTCTTGCACTAAAAACATTAAAAGGTTTTAGGTTGAATTGCGCTAATCTCTTTCCTTCCCAAGCTCGACGATACGAAGATACTAATATACAAAGGATGCACGTAAAGTCTTACCTTTGGTACGGCTGCAACAACTAACCTGCAAACAAAATTGTTTTTACTATTCATGCGCTTCGAAAAACTGTTAAAGCAAAAACGGCCTTTACATCTTCTTTATTATAGAAACTACGAGAGGTATTTCCATACTAAGTTATTTATTATATTAGTATATGAAAACTTAAATATGAACAAAATTGCGACACAAACTAATATTTCTGCATCACGTTCCAATAATATAAACAAAGTTAGCCTATAATAAAGTTATTGCCAACTCGCAATTCCAGCTTTAGAAATGAATGAAAATTACATAGCTTGGAAATAATTCAAAACGCGTGTAAAATACTAATGTCCCACAAAATTGAGGATAAATTATTGATTTTTTCATGATTTGGATTTGACATTTTTGCAACAAAATATTGAACAGGACATAATATGTGAAAATTTGCGATAAAACATTATTATATACATGATTTTGTTTAGATTATACTTATGCAGTAGGCCTATCTTAATTAGTGGTGTTTATTTATTTAGGCCTATATTCATAAATGAATCTAAAACTCTTTATTACGGTTTCAACACAATCCAAATACACTCCCTTTTAAACGTGGTTTAACGTTCATAGATTGTCTGTTCGTTATTTATAGAACTCTTAATGAAAACTTCTAAAGGTAAACTGTTATAGCATAACCAATTATCTAATTTTGTTGTAATAATTTCAAATATAACAACAATACCATCATGTTAGGGAATTTATACAAGCTCCCAGTTGTTTTCTATAGCCCCGTGTGAACGAGGCTTATATGAGTTACAAAATAATATGGATGTCATATAGCTGATTAGTATAGCTATTTCGATACTCTATAGTATAGGTAGCAGAAAGGATACACAAATATTTTTTTTCAGTTAAGTCGTTTGTCCTTATTTCTACGTTCTATCTCATTTTCAAGATTAACGTTTCCTATCTTACAAAAACTAACCACAACGCTATCAATTAACAGGTGATGAATACCGGATAATGTTAAGAACTTATTGTTGAACAGCTATTTGATTCGAGAATATTGTTCTTGCCAAAAACATAACTTAACCCTCTCTATTGCAGATAACTAAAACTGACGTTCGATAATGTTTACCTAAAGGGCGAAGTGTTTCGTGCCGGGGAAATTACTATTGGTAAGCAGAAGCAGTTAGACAATTTCAGGTTCCCTCTACAGTAGTTCTACCAAATAGCATTCCAACATTGATTCAGTTTAACAAATCTTTACTGGTAGTGTTGTAAACAAATTGTCTTACTGCTAAGGTTACGTAAAGCAAGTATTCCACTTTAAAAGTCATCCTCAAGCTAAGTCAAAACTGTACTTGAGAAGGTTAAGTCACTGTTTTTATATTATTCAAGTAATAATCTTCAATCAAACAGCTGTTCAACAATAAGTGTCAAAACTGCAACTCAATATACAAGGTCAATTAGGCTCAAGAATGAATGTTTTGGAAGCTGAAATCGTCAAATATTTTACAAACCTACAAAATAAATTGTATAAAGTTTCAAAGCCGTCACTGTATAAATTGCCTGTCATATAAAATCAAACGTTTAAACCTCTTCGTGGGACACCCTGTACATTATCAGGTAATACCGTTTGAGCATTGCATAATAAGCTAGGACTTTCCTTTAAGCTTATAAAATAGCAAACTGTAGTGATTGAAAATACTAACCAGGATACTGTAGTGAATCGTCAGAACATGGATGCATGTAGTCACAGGAAAATCTGTATAAATAACATCACTGAATGAGTCACTTGACACTAACACTAAAATGTCCACTAAACACACTCGCGAACACTACACACAGATACTAGAACGAACGAGTTAGGCTAATTAAAAACACACTACACGACCACTACTACACTAACTAACGCGCGATGACATGAAAATACATTGACCGTTCGACAAAGACAACAATGGACCAATGAGCATCGAGTACGTCAAGCGAGTAGATGACTTGTCTTGCTAATCAGCTGTCAAAAGGTTTTTGGTTAGTATACTAGCCAATGTTTGAATAAGCTGCAACATACTGTATACATATAATTGTTGTGTTTATATACTGTAATATATCAATCAATATAGCATGAAGGTAGGTAAATAATTAAACAACTGGTAACCAAACATTTATTTTTGTTATTATGGAATTCCAAAAAAAATTTCAGGTTAAGTAATCTATTTACTTGGTTTATAATTTGTGTGTATAATAATATTGCGTTGTGAGTATTGTTATACTGAACTGTAATTCATAGTAGTTTTAACTGTTGCTAGGTATATGTATGGATGAAAATACATAAAATTATTGAGAATGAGAATGAGAATGAGAATTTTATTTGGTCTTTTAAACATGCAGTTACATGCAATCAGACAAGTCATATAATAATCATCTGGCAACAATCAGTTAGGCTAACAGTCCCAGTTAGTAAACTGGGTTGACTTAGCTTAAATCACACCATGCACAAAAACAGGCAAATATAATAAATAAATAAATAGTTAAATAATGGCAACTACAATAGTGAATAAATAGTGCACAAACTACTCATATCTACTTTCAAAAAAACACACCATGCACAAACTACTTCAAACTTCAGGCACAGCAAAAGCAATCAAAAGCATCTACTTACAACAGCTGTAGGAATTTCAAAAAATTCTTTTAAAGCATACAAAGGATGCGCCAATAGCATCTCTTGTAGTTTCCGCTTAAACTGGCAGATCTCCAGGTTTCGTGCTGAATAAGGCAATGCATTAAATAGATTTATTGCTAAGATATCACAGTTGAGTTGAGTTTTTCTAAGTCTAACATAAGGTATATCTATTAGATGTTTATTTCTTGTGTCATGCTCATGCACCTCGGCTCTAGTTACTACATTCCCAATACTATTTTCCTTAAACTTAACTAAAATATCAAAAATATACAAGCTGTAAACAGTCATCAGTTTCTCAGATACAAATAAGGGTTTGCAATGTGCGTCATAAGAAGCATCAGCCATTAACCTAATTGCCTTCTTTTGAACAGTTAAGATACCTTTAACATCAGTTGCACTGCCCCATAGGCTTAGGCCGTATAAAAATTAGGCCGTATATTTGCTATACAAAACAACGGGATGTGAGCTTATCTGATCTTACTTACTACTTATTTACGTAGTAATACTTACAAACATCGATATATTACTTACTTACATTATAAACTAGTGGCTTATAGGGGCAATAGCCCCTAGTAATATATTCTAAATATCAAAAATATATTCAAAAATATTCTAGTAATATTTTTGTACAAATTATTAGTCTCATATGTTACCCTACCTTGATTTATCATTTAACATGTTTGTATATTATGATATGTATAATAGTTATTACATATCATAATGTAGGTTGATGTCTACTCTGTTTAAAATAAAAATTCCAAAGGACATGCGGTGTATAATATAAACTTTCTAATCATAATACAACTAAGGAACATTTTCCAATAACAATTTTCATGACTATTAATTACATCTATATAGATTTCTTTAAATATAGACAAATTCACTTAGGAAAACACATATTTATAACGTCATCATCCAAATTGTAAAATGCTAATTCTATAAAAAAACCTCTCTGAAAACAAAATTTGTTGTATATTATCGATTTTGGTCGATTCCTTTGTCTTTATTTGGGTCTAGTACTATTTTAACATCATCTGGCCTCTTTGCCCATCCAAAAGTAACATAAAGTTGACCATGGGTAAACACTGGGGTTTTCAAATAAACGCCAACTTTGTGAAGGTTCGGCCTTGCGCCACAATTTAACCAAATGAAATTGCACAATGAATGCACCCATCGTTCATTGGTCCTAGCTGTGTAATGCAATCTCATTTAATAGTGGCAATGTATACACAGGAATAACTTCATGTTCACCCGATATTCATTTATTTTCCTCCCAAATATCGTGCCAAATCTGGCGCCTGTTGTTCTCATTTCAAGGAACAACACCTCTGCGTGGTAGTCTTCCGACATTATACATTATTACTGTGCAAAAGAACAATCCATTGTAAAGTATTAAGTTTAAAAGTATCAAATTTAAGTTTGCTCAAAAGATTTAATCTAATTTTCACTTATTGTTGATTCTCATGTTATTTAAATGTGAAATATTTTATTCCGTAACTACCTTTTGGTGCATAATTAATGAAAATGAATAGTTTTCCCTCAAATAAGACCCCTCCCATCCTTCTACGGCCATCCAGTCACTCATAATTTCTTTACAAAAATTTGACTTAGGGAATTATATATAGAAAATTAGATTCCCATGTTATTAAAATGTGAAATATTTTATTCCGTAACTACCTTTTGGTGCATAATTAATGAAAATGAATAGTTTTCCCTCAAAATTCACGTCAAGACCTTTAAAATAAGACCCCTCCCATCCTTCTACGGCCATCCAGTCACTCACAATTTCTTTACAAAAATTTGACTTACGGAATTATACAGGGTTGGGCAAATGTGTGGATACCCCTAGTTAACTTTTTAACGCGTTGCAAACCAAACTCAGCACATATTTACAACATAAGAAATTGCACTTTTTCATCAAAGTTACAACTTTGCCCCAGCCCCCAAAATGGGGTATTTTGGGGGCAGCCCCAAATTTTCAAATGTAAACACCTATCATGTGACCCATCATTTTAAAGGGTTTATCAAGGGAAATTGAATGGCGCAAACCAGAGGTCAATATCCCACGCCTAATTAAAATGGCAGCCATTTTAATTATTTAAGATGAGCAATCATGATAGAGTCTAGACACCCCCAGTTAACTTTAAAAATTAAATATTTTAATACTGACCAAAAGGTGAATTCTCTTTTTTCATAAAGGTATGCTGAGTTTAGTTTTCCTGCTATAACCTGTTAAAAAATTAAAAAGGGATATTCCAAAATGACTGCCATTTTGATTAGGGGTGCGATATTGACCTATAGTTTGCGCCATTTAATTTGTCTTGAGAAACCATTTAAAATGAGGGGTCACATGATAGGTGTTTACTTTTAAAAATTTGGGGCTGCCCCCAAAATACCCCATTTTGGGGGCCGGGTACAAGTTCTAACTTTAATGAAAAAGTGCATTTTTTATGTTGTAAACATGTGCCGAGTTTGGTTTTCCCACTGCCATACGTTATAAAGTTAACTGGGGGTGTCCAGACTTTATCATGATTGCTCATGTTAAATTAAAATGGCTGCCATTTTGATTAGGCGTGCGATATTGACCTCTGGTTTGCGCCATTCAATTTCTCTTAACAAACCCTTTAAAATGAGGGGTCACATGATAGGTGTTTACATTTGAAAATTTGGGGCTGCCCCCAAAATACCCCATTTTGGGGGCTAGGGCAAAGTTGTAACTTTGATGAAAAAGTGCAATTTCTTATGTTGTAAATATGTGTCGAGTTAGGTTTTCCTATTGCAACGCGTTAAAAAGTTAACTAGGGGTATCCACACATTTGCCCAACCCTGTATATATAGAAATGTGATATTTTGTAAGTTTTTGAGATCCTATGGTCAATTACGTAAAAACTACTGGACTAATTGAGTTCAATTTTTTCAGGAATAAAGCCTGTATTCCAGCGACGCACATACACATATTCTAATTTTGAAACTCTCGTAGGGCCACGCCCCACTGGCTATGTCGCCATGTTATTCTTACGAAATCACTGAATATTACAGTTTAACCAGCTGATTGATAAGGTGTTTGATTATTTTATTCCCGATATTATGGTCAACTAATTTAGATGAACGTTTATTAAACATTTGGAAAAGGTAGGACCATGGGTTCACGATTAAGGGGGTCATTATGAATATACAGTAGTAAAGGCATTTCATCCGGAACATAAATTGTATCCAAGACATCATCAGCGAACCATCATAGATGATTTTTTTTTGTAAAAGGTGAACACGAGGGGAACTTGGGTCCACGATTAACGGAGTCGCTATGGAAGTAGTAAATACATTTAGTCCAGAGCATGAATTGTATCCAATACATCATAAGCAAACCGTTATAGATTATCTTTTGAAGGGAACAGGAGTGGATCTTAGATCCTCGATATAAGTCACTATGGAAGTAGTACTGTAAAGGCAATTTGTCTGTACAATGAAATGTATTTAGTACAATATGCTAAACCATGTTAGGTGTTCTTATGGTCCTTTTATTTTGTCATAACTGGAATTTATATCGAAATAGATTCTCTTGAAGTTGTGTGATGAAATGTTTGGGATTACTATCAGGCAATGAGTGGATATCATACTTGAAAATCATTCCAAACAATATCGACTTTACCACAACTTTCTCTTCAACAGTTCAATTAGTCTGTAAAAAAATATATTGACTCTTTGTATCGTTATGCTGAGCTATTTTGTTAATTAGCAATCGTCATTACATAAAGTAATGTCAAACTTCTGAGCTCCGTTGTTGGACATTCTACTCGACATACTTAAGCCTGGTCATCACCTGTTCCTTTAGAACTTCTAAATATCACACCAACTAATATCGCTCACCAAAGCTATATCAACATTCGTTTTAACACACTAGCAAACCGTTTATTTCATATATTTATTTCCGTATATTTGCACTCTTTTGCATGCAGAAAGTAAATAAATCCAACGCAATTACGTTAATACTACCTAATGCTCCGTTGTCCATTTCTTGCTCTACAATTTCAATAATAGGACAAAATAAGTAAAATTGGAAAACTCAAAGCGGCTCCATTGCCAAGTTGTTGGAGTTAAAACACATTTATGCAGACCAGTTT